AATTTGACTTAAGTTCAGATTAGTAAACGAAGTGGTTTTCTTTCGCCGTTTGACTTTCGTTGCTTCGTTTGATTTGATTCTTTTTGCGTACCGGAGTTCTTAAGTTGAACTTTCTGGTCAACCTCTCCTATTTGAGTTTTGCTTGTGCATCGTTGCTTGTTACTTATGTATGTTATTGTTTGCTTGCGATAGAATTCCCGGAGTGCGCGTGTTACTACGAGTCTCTAGGATTCGCGGATCGTCAGCAAGGCAAGTAACACTTTGATCATATCCCATTATTACCCAGTTTTTATGCATTAGTTCCAATCCCCAAACATTGCATGATTAGGATGTCATTAACTTGTGGGTTGGGAAGTAGTTGCTGAGGTAGAACCTATTGCCCTGTTATATCCAAACACTTGGGAGTTACTTCTACGTATTGCTTATATTGCTATGCTATGCTCGTAGATGTGGTTTGGGTTTGAGTGAAATTCATGACAGATGTGAGATTGTTAAATAATGGTTCAACTTAAGGTGGCAACTTAATCAAACAACTGGGTAGATTGAGGCACCTGGGGAACCCGGTGTTGTCTGTATTTTTTTTGGAAATCCCGGGTACCCGTGTGATCTTCCTATGGACCGCCACCCAGGCTCAAAGGGAACTGAGATGATTCATGCTAGAAACTTCCGTGTGCAGCCACAAGCTATTACGGGCTCTGGCATAGTTGAGTAAGTTACGTGAAGCTCTTGAAGAGGTAGATCAGCAGGTAGTGGGTTTTGTAGGTTTGGTATGGTCTACCCGGAGTAGAGAGTTAACGTTTCTGAAAGACTGTGTCTCGGTCATCCGTTTCTCAAACACCATGTAGTGCGAGAAATCCAACGGAGGTGATCGAGTCTTGTGGGGAAAAGTGCGCAAACCTCTGCAGAGTGTACAATCTAATCATGGTTAGCCGTGTCCCCAGTTATGGACAATTTTTGAGTATCTAGTACTTGGGTTATCACATGTATCTCACCATGTTTAATTAATACTGTTGGGTTGTTAATCACTTTAATTGGGATTGAGATGGGGGTACCTTCTCAATGATGTTTCAACCACCATGATAGTTAAATAAAAACCTATTCCTTTGTTGTAGGGAAAAATTTGGCTTTTCGCAAAAACTATAACCATAGAGCTTTCCACCAGCCATATATGCATATAGTGATAGCATCATTCTGTTTCTACTCTACTGTGTTATATTGCCAGCATATTCCATGTGCTGACCCGTTTTCGGGCTGCAACGTATTATGTTGCAGACTTTTCAGACGAGGAGTAAGGTTCTTTAGGTCATTGCCGTGCAGCTCAGCTATGCCGTTGGAGTTGATGGACTCACCTTATCTTCCAAGCCTTTCGCTGTTATCGCATTAGATGGCCTTAAGCCATATTATTGTAATAAGTTCTCTTTGGAGACATTCGATGTAATAGTGTGTGATTGCTACTCTGTTATAAATCCTTCGAGTACTGTGTGTGTCAGCATTACCGATCCAGGGATGACACTTAGGCACAGAGACTTGACCATCTGAGGTCGGGTCGCTACATGCCTTCTCCCGCGCCGGTGACCTCCACCACATCTTCGCCTGCGTCCTCCTCGCGCGCGCCCCTTCCATCCTCAACCTCCTTCGAGCGCCGCCATGCCTCCCCTGCAGCTACTCCGGCGAGCTCCAGCAGCTCCGCCACGTTCCGGTGCCGCCGGTTGATCTCGTCTTCCTTCTGCCTTGCTGCTGCCTTAGAGCACCATCGATGCATCTATGTGTGGAACCTGCCAAGTCCCGCACAGACCTGGATTCGCCAAGTTCAAATACCGATGACCGCCTCTGGATTCGTCAAGTACACCGCCGACAAGACCAAGGACGCCCGAACGAGTGCTCCCGACCAAGACATTTGTGCTTTTACGTTTTGGACACGCCAAGTCCCTCGGAAACATTGGATGCGACAAGACCGCCCCGGTTGTTGCCAAGTACCACGACGCCCGGAGCCCTCGAATCCGTCAAGTTCCACTATGAGATGTGCAACTACCGTCGACGTGTACGACTACTTTGTGAACGTGTACCCGACGACCCCGGAGACCTACGTTGCGCCAAGTACCCCCTCGGTGACCCGAACATCTACAACAAAACGTGTACCACTACCGTCGAGGACCGATAGTACCACTACTTATACTATCGTCGCGGAACGACTACTTCCTCTACTTCCCTCGACAAACTCGAACCGCCCAGGAAATGCACGCTTCGAAGGTATAACCCTGAGACGACGCCGTGGACCGTATGCATGTGTGTGGTATGAGATGCTCATGTTTGCACCGTGTCCGAGATGTCCTTGCATGTTCCTCCTCGTTTACCACGTTGTCGATCCGTGGGAACCCGGTATCTGGGATCACCCCACCATCCCTGCATGACACACTCACACCCACTTCATTTTGCACCGGTATCCCCGTGAGCTACCGGATCATCGGAATGTTGCCATGGCATCATTTCCGTTTCGCCGCCGTGGCACCTTTTCCGTCGTAGTTGCCGTGGCACCCCTTTGGTTCAGCCATGGTGACAAAATTCTTCATAATATGCTTGTCAACATTTTCATAAAACTTGCATAAAACTTGCACATATCATCCGCATCATGATAATAACATTTAAAATGTTTAAATTGTTGTTTGCATTAAATTGCTAAATGCATATGGGGTTTTACTGGAATTGTTGTTTGATGTTTCCGGCCCCATTTAAATTGCATAGATAATGTAGTTTAATTGTGCTTCACCCCTTGCCATGTTTAAGAACATTCAATATTGATGGGTACCTAAACGAGAGAGAACTATATAAGTCATATGGTGTTTTGTCAATATGCAACTCGTTGCATATTGAGCTCCACTTAATTTGTAGTGTTGTTTGTTGCACTTTGCCATGACATGCCTCATTAAACCAGACATGCATCATACTTGGTTGTGCATCATGCCATGTTTATGTGATGGTTGTTTACCATGTTGTTTGCTTCTTTCCGGTGTTGCTTCTTCGGGTTAGTTCCGATAACGTCGCGTTTGTGAGGATCCGTTCGACTACGTCCATTTGTCTTCTTCATGGACTCGTTCTTCTTCCTTGCGGGATTTCAGGCAAGATGATCATACCCTCGAAATCACTTCTATCTTTGCTTGCTAGTTTTTCGTTCTATCGCTATGTCGCGCTACCTACCACTTGTTATATCATGCCTCCCGTATTGCCATGTCATGCCTCTAACCCTCCTTCCTAGCAAACCATTGTTTGGATAAGTTACCGTTTTGTTCAGCCCCTCTTATAGCGTTGTTAGTTGCAGGTGAAGTTGGAGTTTGTTCCATGTTGGAACATGTATATGTTGGGATATCACAATATCTCTTATTTAATTAATGCATCTATATACTTGGTAAAGGGTGGAAGGCTCGGCCTTATGCCTGGTGTTTTGTTCCACTCTTGCCGCCCTAGTTTCCGTCATACCAGTGTTATGTTTCTTGATTTTGCGTTTCTTACGCGGTTGGGTGTTATGGGAACCCCTTGACAGTTCGCTTTGAATAAAACTCCTCCAGCAAGGCCCAACCCTGGTTTTACATTTGCCTAACAACCTATAACTTTCCCTTGGGTTTTCGCGAGCCCGAGGGTCATATTTGTTTTAAACCCCGAGCTAGTGCTCCTCTGAGTGTTGGTCCAACCTGTCAGCCGCCGGTGGCCACCAGGGGCAACTCTGGGCCGGCCTACTGGAAGTTTGGACAATCCGGTGCGCCCTGAGAACGAGATATGTGCAGCTCCTATCGGGATTTGTCGGCACATTCGGGCGACTTTGCTGGTCTTGTTTTACCATTGCCGAAATGTCTTGTAACTGGGATTCCGAGTCTGATCGGGTCTTTCTGGGAGAAGGAATATCCTTCGTTGACCGTAAGAGCTTGTGATGGGCTAAGTTGGGACACCCCTGCAGGGTTTGAACTTTCGAAAGCCGTGCCCTCGGTTATGTGGCAGATGGGAATTTGTTAATATCCGATTGTAGAGAACTTGACACTAAACTTAATTAAAATGAATCAACCGCGTGTGTAGGCGTGATGGTCTCTTCTTGGCGTAGTCCGGGAAGTGAACACGATTCTTGTGTTATGCTTGAACATAAGTAGTTTCAGGATCACTTCTTGATCACTTCTAGTCCACGACCGTTGCGTTGCTTCTCTTCTCGCTCTTATTTGCGTAAGTTAGCCACCATCTATACTTAGTGCTTGCTGCAGCTCCACCTCACTACCTTTTTTCTATCCATAAGCTTAAATAGTCTTGATCGCGAGGGTGAGAGATTGCTGAGTCCTCGTGACTCACAGATACTTCCAAACAGTTGCGGGTGCCGATAATACCAGTGCAGGTGACGCAACCCAGCTCAAGTGGGAGCTCGATGAAGATCTTGATCGTTGTTATATTTCCTTTTATGTTGATCAGTAGTGGAGCCCAGTTGGGGCGATCGGAGATCTAGCATTTGAGTTTTTCTTCTTTTATTTTGGTTCCGTAGTCGGACCTTTGTGTGTACATTAGATGATGTATAATCTATTTATGTATTTATGTGAAGTGGCGGTTGTAAGCCAACTCTTTATTCCTTTCTTATTCAGTACATGAGATTGTGTGAAGATTACCCCTCTTACGACAAACCTACCATGCGGCTATGCCTCTAAGTTATGCCCCGACATGTGGGAGATATAGTCGCATCATGGGTGTTACAAGAAATCAGTCGGTTAAAATAGATACTTTTACATGCTGCTTCGTTGTGACACTTATTATTTAGATAAACTTATTTATTTATAAGAGCTATTTTTTGCTAGAGAGCGCTATTTTTTAATCCAAATTTAACCCCAAATCGTCGGAAGGCTTGGCCAAACCCGGCGACGGCATCTAAACAACTTGCAATAATATCAAGTCGAGAAAACGAGAAAGCGAAATAGAATCTTAGCCCCACCGCACCACACAACCGCGTCTAGGGTTTCCACCTCGCCGCCGCCATGTCGTCCGGCGACGATGACCGCGTCACCGTCTCCAGGCACCACCAGCGGGACAAGGACAAGGACCGCGACCACTCCTCCTCTCGCCGCCACCGCGACAAGGACCGCCCCTCCTCTCGCCACCACCGCGACGACAGGGACGGTGAGCGGGAGCGGGACCGAGATCGCGACCGCCACCACAGAGACAAGGAGCGGGATCGAGAGGAGCGGAAGGCGCGGGAGCGGGCGGAGAAGGAGCGCGAGAAGGAGGAGAAGAGGGAGAAGGAAAGGGAAAGGGAAAGGGAGAGGGAGAGGGAGGAGAGGGAGATGGAGAAGGAGAGAGAGCGGGCGCGTCGTCGCGAGGAGCGGGATAGGGAGAAGGAGAAGTCGAGGAGGCGGGAGGCGGTCGATGAGGAGGAGAACGAAGATCGTGACCGCGACCGCAAGCACCGCCGCCGGTCCTTGCACCGGCACCACCACCGTGATGTGGAGCCAGAGGAGACACCGCTGACAAGGGAGGAGGAGGAGGATGCGGAGGAGGTGGAGAGACGGCGGCAGAAGAAGGAGGAAGACATGGAGGCTGAGCAGCAGCGGCTTGATGACGAGATGGAGCGGCGCCGCCGCCGTGTTAAGGAGTGGCAGGAGAAGAAGCGCCGTGAGCAGCAGCAGGAGGATGGTGCCAGTGGTGGTGCAGCTGCCATTGAGGCTGATGGTGGAGGCAAGTCTGGGAAGAAGTGGACCTTGGATGGTGAGGAGTCGGATGAGGAGGATGTGAAGAAGTTGGAGGAGAATGCTGGCACTGGTGCCATGGATGTTGACCTACCAAGCATGGATAATGGCAGTAACAGCGGGGCTGGTTTGGAAGAGGATGAGATTGATCCCCTCGACGCGTTTATGGACTCCATGGTGTTGCCAGTGGTTGCAAAGCTCGAGAGTGCCACAACAGCGACGGAGAGCGTGCTTGCTGACAATGCAGGTGGTTTGAATGACAAGAGTGTGAAGGATGCCACAAGTAATGAGGATAAGAAAAGACAGATGATGGCAATTGGAAGAATTATGCAAGGGGATGACTCTGACTCAGATTATGACGATGCTAATAATGGCGAGGCTGGATCAGATGATGAGGATGATGCAGAGTTCATAAAACGTGTCAAGAAGACGAAGGCAGAGAAGTTGGTTATTGTTGACCATTCCAAGATTGATTACCAACCATTCCGGAAGAATTTCTATATTGAGGTGAAAGACATAAAAAATATGCCAGCCGAGGAAGCGGCGGCCTACCGGAAGCTGTTGGAGCTCAAGGTGCACGGGAAAGACGTTCCGAAGCCAATAAAGACATGGATCCAGAGTGGTCTGACAAGTAAGCTACTTGACACTATCAAGAAGCTTGGTTTTGAGAAACCGATGCCTATACAAGCACAGGCGTTGCCAGTCATAATGAGTGGACGTGATTGTATAGGGGTTGCAAAGACTGGATCTGGGAAGACTCTAGCATTTGTCTTGCCCATGCTGAGGCATGTCAAAGATCAGCCGCCTGTTGTGCCTGGGGATGGCCCTATTGGGCTTATTATGGCTCCTACGAGAGAGCTTGTGGTGCAAATATATTCAGACATAAAAAAGTTCTCCAAGGTGCTTGGCATCAACTGTGTTCCTATATACGGAGGTTCTGGGGTTGCCCAGCAGATCAGTGAACTGAAGAGGGGTGCTGAAATTGTTGTTTGTACACCAGGCAGGATGATTGATATCCTTTGCACTAGCAGTGGCAAGATTACTAACCTTCGAAGAGTGACTTTCTTGGTGCTAGATGAAGCTGATAGGATGTTTGACATGGGTTTTGAGCCTCAGATTACTCGAATCGTTCAGAACACCCGTCCGGATAGGCAAACTGTCCTTTTCTCTGCCACTTTTCCACGGCAGGTGGAGATACTGGCACGTAAAGTGCTGACAAAGCCTGTTGAGATTCAGATGGGTGGGAGGAGCGTCGTGAACAAAGATATCACACAACTGGTGGAAGTGCGACCAGAAAGCGAGAGGTTCTTTAGGCTGTTGGAATTGCTTGGGGAGTGGTTTGCAAACGGAAAAATTCTTGTTTTTGTACAGTCGCAAGATAAGTGTGATTCTCTACTGAAAGAGCTGTTCCAGCACGGATACCCATGTTTGTCTCTACATGGTGGAAAGGATCAAAATGACCGTGAATCAACTCTTGCTGATTTCAAGAGTAATGTATGCAGCTTGCTGATTGCTACCAGTGTTGCTGCAAGGGGTTTAGATGTGAAAGATCTTGAGCTTGTTGTCAATTATGATGTAACTAATCATTATGAGGACTATGTTCATCGGGTCGGGCGAACGGGTCGCGCTGGTAGGAAGGGCTGTGCTGTGACTTTTATTTCTGAGGAAGAGGAACGCTATGCACCAGACCTTGTTAAGGCTTTGGAGCTATCTGAACAGGCCGTTCCAGAGGACCTGAAAGCCTTAGCGGATCGATTTATGTCAAAGGTCAAGCAGGGAACAGAGCAGGCCCATGGAACGGGCTATGGTGGAAGTGGTTTCAAGTTCAATGAAGAAGAGGAGGAAGCACGGAAATCTGCAAAAAGGGCTCAGGCAAGGGAATATGGATATGAGGAGGACAAGTCAGATTCAGATTCTGACGATGAAGGGGGTGTGCGTAAACAGGGAGGTGATGTTGCAGCACAAGCTATTGCTGCTGCTCAAGCTGCCGCTGCTTTGGCTGCTGCCAGGGCAACTAGTAATGCCCAGCAGCAAGTACCAGCCACAACGGCTGGCTCCTTGCTTCCTCTGCCGGTCGTACCTAGCCAACAAAACAATGAAGCCACACAACGAGCACTTGATGCTGCATACAACTTACAGAAAAATTTGGCAAGGATACAGGCCCATGCAGTTCCAGAACACTATGAAGCGGAGCTTGAGATTAATGATTTCCCACAAAATGCTCGCTGGAAGATCACTCACAAAGAGACATTGGTTCCCATTCAGGAATGGACTGGAGCGGCAATTACTACAAGGGGAACCTTCATTCCTCAAGGCAAAATTGTTGGTGCTAACGAGCGCAAGCTGTACCTGTTTATTGAGGGCCCCAATGAGTCTTCCGTCAAGAAGGCCAAAGCAGAATTGAAGCGTGTCCTCGAGGATTGTGCCAACCAGGCACTGAATCTTCCAGGTTCTGCTCAAACCGGAAAGTATTCTGTTCTTTGATCTGCAGTTTGTATAACAAAATGGATAAAGTATGGGAGATGTTGAGATTTTCTTGAGAAGGTACGAAGAATTTATGTCATAGTCATCATAGATTAAATATTAACTGCTTGTGTGTAGACTGATATGCAAAATTGCAGATGACATTTCATTTTTTTTTCTCCAAGCATCATAATTCCCAAATTATGTATTTCAACTTTCTTATCTTGTACTCCCAGATATGCAACTATTTTTAGTGCAAAGTATCATGTTTCTTTTTGACAACTATATTGCAAAGTACTACCATGTTATTTTTTGTTTGCATATTTTTATTTACTAACCATCTTCTGGGTCTATTTTCACATTGCAGCTTACCGTGGTTTGCAGATCACAATCCAATTGTTGGACTTCAGATATGCAACTATTTTTTAAAACTTTAAGCCATTATATAAGGCAGCTAGCAGTTACTTAGTGCCATGTGGTTATTGTGGAAACTGTCTAGCTTGGAACGTTTTGACAATTTCTATAATTCTTTTGACAAACTTTTATTGCCTTTGGACATAAGGCTTAGAAATGCTGGTCACTGTTGTGAACATGCAGTTTACTGTTCTGAACACTAAATGGAGAATGCTGCCTTCCTTCTTCTTTTTCATGCAGTTTTTACTGTTGTGAACACTAATTGGAGAATGCTGCCTCCCAGATATGCAGTTTACTGTTGTGAACGCAGTTTACTGTTGTGAACGCTAAATGGAGATTCATGGTGTACTGTCCACCCATAGTACTGTTGGGAATAAAAACTTAACGCCAAAGAGGCTTTGAGTTTTCTGGTGCAACTTTGAAGCTGTGCACTTTCAGAGTGATGACGAAAGCAATAGTTTAGTACTAGCACTTAATTTAAATTTATCTGTGTTAAATTTGTGGTTTGGTTTAGATTATGCGCCATTTCTACCTTGTGAACTTTGTAGCCATGATGCTTTCTGTAGACATGATGCTCTTGTTTTGTTCTTCAGATGCACTATACTGTTGCAAGCCGAGAATCATATTTCTGAGGCGGTGGTGCGACTGGTGGTCGAAGAGGCTGGGGGCCCATATTTTCAGAGATAAAAGGATTGTGCTTGTTATCATGTACCCCCTCCGTCCCAAAATGAGGGAGTAATTTGCTGCTGCAGTTGAGTGACAACAGTTTGCTTTGACGGCGTAGGTCGCGTTGATGTTTGTTCTGTGCTATTATTATCTCCAAACTGTACCTGTTACCTGTGCTGAAGACGAAACTATTGAAGAGGTACGATATCGATGGTACGGCAAAAGTTTTAGGTTGGCGTATCGATGGGATGATTGACGTTACACTGCTAGCCTCCTGAAAAATGTCAACTTAATCTGACCACTTGCCCGTTGAAAAACTTAAAACTCAATTTGTCCATTGGCCCCTTGAAAAGCTTATTTTGTAACCTTGCCCCTGCAATTCGCGCCGAACGACCAGACGCCTGATACAGGTGACGGTGCCATCTCACCAGACGCATTTGATCGTGGCACAGCATTTTGTCTGCAGTGATTATCTGCTGTAAATAGTACTCCGTATTTCAGCTCTCTGGCTTGCCTCTACTACTCCTGGAGAATATTGTAGCTCTCCTGCCATCCCTCCCTAAGTCAGAGGAGCCGGATCCCTCGTCGAGACGCCTGTGATACACGTGATGGTGCCTTGTCCAAAGATGCGTTTGGCCGTGGTCATACACTACTGCCCTACCAACTTAGCACCCGCATATCGCGTCCAGTCGAAACCGTGCTTTTTTAGCGGGGACAGTCCAATCCATGCTGAAGGAGCTGTGTTTGGGTGTTAGAGCATCTCCAGCCTCCAACAAGCCTTCCAGGGCACTTCTTTTTATCGTCGGAGCTGAAAAATCGGTTCAATCGCGATCCCTAGAAGCCCACTTTTTATCGGTTGGGGCCGAATTTGACGCCGGCAGACCCAGGTCCAACCCGGCGCGCTGGGGGGCGCCCGGGGACTTCGGGGTAAACATGTTTTGGCGCGAAGCCTAACGGGCCCACCGAGTCAGCGACCGGGCACGCTCGTCGTCCTCATCGTCTCGGTTTCTCGCAGGGAAGGCTACCACGCTGTTGCCCTGGTCAGCCTTTCATTGATGCCTCACAGGCGGCGTAGTGAAGGCGCGACGACGCGCGTCCCGCCCGCTCCCACCACGCGTACGCACGCATGCCGCCCGCTCGCCGCTACAAAAGTTGGCCCCTTCCTCGTCGGTCAGCGCATGCCCTCCATCGCCACAGAACCCTCTCCAACTCTCGGCCTCTCACCGTCAACGCGCGTCTCTCCTCTCTTCCCCCGACGACGAGCATGGCCGAACGCTACCCAGGCTATGGTGCGGCAGCCAACGGTTTCGGCTGCCGCCACCTGCATGAGGACGAGGCACGTCTTCTCTACGAGTCCGACTACCTGGCGCCGCCAGACATGCGGGTGCCGGGTTCCTGGAGGCTTAGCGCCGGCAGCGTCCCGGTGCCTCTAGTGCCTACCGGAGCTAGTCGGTGCGCCGAAATCGCACGCATCCGGTCCTCGCTGCTGGCGGCGGCGAGGAACGAGCCAAGGTATGCCCACGACAGCAACGCGCTGTGGACGGCGTACTTCGCCCGGCGCCACGAGGAGCAGCTTGCCTCCACCAACGGCGTCGAGCCCCGCGACCGCCTCAACTCCGACGGGCGGCACCAATGGTGGGGCGTCCCCGGCCGCACCCTCGAGGCCGTCCTCGAGTACATCGAGAGCCGCAACACGTCACGCCTGGAGTACCCGGCGCGCCCCTCATTCTCTCATCGCCGCGACAGCTCCTGAACGCCGCGGCAAATGGAGACGGCGACATCCTCGTCGTCGGGCTCCCTCTCCTCCAGCTCGCCGGCACTCTGTCCCGTCAAGCCGGCGCCCTCGTCATCAAAGAGGGCGGCCATGGCCCCTCTCCTTCCTCTTCCCGCCTCTTCAGGCCAAAAGACCGATCCGGGTCTTCTCCACGTGAAGAAGGAGCACGAGGCCATGGACGCTGCCGACGAGACCGCCCTCAAATGGGCGTGGGAGGACTATGTCAACGAGGAGATGGCGCGCCAGCGCCGCGCCCTCGAGTCGGGGACGCGAGGAGGGCGGCGTGGTCGTCCTTGACGACAGCAACGACGAGGCGCCTGGTCCGTCCCTGGTCAGGGGTGCAGCAGGGACGGTGGCCGCACACAGGACGACGGCGGCGACTACACCAAGTTCTACAGGCTGCTCGACATGTAGAAAGCGAGCGGCAGCGGCGGTGCAGTAGTCATAGTTTTAGTTGTTTTTAAATTATGTTTTTAGTTTTTTGTACAAATATAAATGAAATTGCCTAGTTTGGCCGAACTTGTGTCGTGTTTGTCTGATTTTCGGCCGAGTTTGGTTTTAAGAAAAAAGTGTCTGGGGCGACCTTGGGGCGGCGACTGGGAAACCAACCGTCCCTCCGTCGAATTTATCGCCGGTTCACCCCCAGAAAGCACTATTTCAAATCCCTGAGGAGACGAACAGCTGGAGATGCTTCTTCAGTTTTCTCATACGGGTAATTGTGTGGCCTAATGTTTGTTTTCGTTGCATTTGAGTAAGATTGTGGATGGTGTGAGATGGTAAGGGACACGTCAAACAAAAAGGCAAGACAAATAAGTCAGCGACTCTTGAGTCCCGATGACACTTTTTGGTCGTACAATAGGTGGTAGACTGAAATATTTCGCGTGCGTCATTGCACACTGATATCTTCTTTTTGTTGTTCCAGTATTGGAACTAGAAAAAGTATGCCATATATATTTTTCTAGAGGTGATTCTGAGTTATAGAACCCACCAAAGGAAGATTTCCTCGATAATGTCTAGCAAACTTTTGCTAAAGTGTCAAATCCAGCTTTTGACCGAATCAAGAAGCAAATAAAAATTCAAACACTTATAAGAAAAAAGATACAGGGATTATGTCTTAATGCTTACAACCATGTATTGGTATTGGAATAAAAAATGATATTAATTTGTGCTTGGGAAGTCATCCATCAAAAGGTGCTTGCTTCGTTTGAATTTTCCGACTGCAATCATGCTCCATTCTGCACTATGTCTGCCTCCACACATCTTCGTGTGTTACTTTGACGCCCTGTGTATGCATCAACCTATCACGGCACCTTCCCTCGGCTCATCATGTTTAGCAGTTGTCAACTCACTGACCTGCATCTTCGCTACTGATCTCCTCCAACCACTCTTTCAAGTCAATGAGATTTTCCTTGTAACCTCACGTACATAGTAGCAAACAACTCCTTGAACATACCAAGCCACAAACCAATGTACTGAACGTGACCGTGACCCCCTTGCCTTGGAACTTGTGCCTCTTTTTCAAACAAATCTCGTGTGTACATCTCCACTTGCATGTCTCGACCTTGTGCTCTGCAGCTCCACAAACTAGCCCGTCCACGCATTGACCAGCCATCTGCATGGCCTCCTTTTTTTATCAGTGCGCTGGAACGCACTTCGGGCCGCCGCCCATGCGCGCGTCCCCCTGGTCCGTTGGCCCGATCACACTGGACTGCCTAGGGCACCACGCGTGAATATGCCCCTCTGCCAGGGCCTCGTCTGTGCTGCCTCGCCGCATCTCGACTCCAAGACACCGACAACTCTTGCTGCTGCACTATTCCATCGAGAGCCGCCACCGCCAGTAACCTGCTGCCGCCAAGATCATTTGATCCAACAAATCCGATGACATCAATCAGCCGATTGAAATCCATGCGGACAGCTTCACACAGCCGGTCCCTCCGATTGCTCCTGACACGAACAAAATTCACGCCGCCCATCGATCTTTTCCAGTTTAGGTCTCCATCACCGCCGATTAGACGAATTCTGCTCCACCTCTAGATCAACAACCATAACCTCAAAACCTTGCTTATGATATCATTTGTTAGAATAAATCCGAGACCACCGTCGATTTACCGAGAACCAAGCAATCATACAAACACGACACCGAGATTTGTTAACGAGGTTCACCATCATGGCTACATCCTCGGGGCCTGACTACGGACGCTCCTCCCGTGACACCATCACAATACCGCACACCGGCCATCCGGGCGCCGGCACACGCCGCCAGCTCCCCCTACGTGCATGTGCTATTATGTTGACATAGGTTACATCGTATATCTACCCTCTCATTATATAAGAGGCCTAGAATACAAGTGTCCTACTAGGACACAAATCCTACCCTGTCTACACACAGTCCAAATCTAAGTTCAACTATGACCAACCTTATACAATAATATTCGACACAATTCTAACAATGGGAATGTGTCCAAATAGCATCCAGACCGGCACGAGTCCTGCATCAAAATCAGTTGTCCTACCGAAGCCCCTATCCGTCTCGCGGGGTTGCCTTGATAATTAAGATAATATTATCAGACAAATG